TACTCTGTTACAGTGAAAGTACTAACACTACACTGTATTAATACTCTGTTACAGTGAAAGTTACTAACACTACACTGTATTAATACTCTGTTACAGTGAAAGTACTAACACTACACTGTATTAATACTCTATTACAGTGAAAGTACTAACACTACACTGTATTAATACTCTGTTACAGTGAAAGTACTAAACACTACACTGTATTAATACTCTGTTACAGTGAAAGTACTAACACTACACTGTATTAATACTCTGTTACAGTGAAAGTACTAACACTACCCTGTATTAATACTCTGTTACAGTGAAAGTACTAACACTACACTGTATTAATACTCTGTTACAGTGAAAGTACTAACACTACACTGTATTAATACTCTGTTACAGTGAAAGTACTAACACTACACTGTATTAATACTCTGTTACAGTGAAAGTACTAACACTACACTGTATTAATACTCTGTTACAGTGAAAGTACTAACACTACACTGTATTAATACTCTGTTACAGTGAAAGTACTAACACTCGTGCCGGGAATTTATTTAATCAGATGTGGACAAAGAATCAAACCGTTCAGCTGTCTTTGTCGTAATTTATTTATTTCAAGAAAGTTCAGTGAGTCACTCAGAGAGCATACTGTCTGCAGAGTGGAAGAGCAGAGTTTGGGTTGAATACTTAGACACAGAGAGAGGAGAAGGGGGGGGGGGTGAAGTGTGTGTTTGATGTATTTAGTTCGAAAGCTTTGGATTCATTTCTCTAACTGGTGGAGGGTTTGGTTCAGACGAGTGTGTTCGAGTTTTTCTTCGCATTAAAAAATAAACACCGCACTGGAGATTTCCTGAAGACACTGAAACAAGAAGTGAAGAATCTGGCAACATGTGTGAGGCCTGTTCCCCTCCTCCCTCTCATGATGACTCACATTATTTGTATTTCCTAACAGATCCTCTCGACTACATGAGTGAAATAACTACAGATATTATGGGATTAAGATGAAACATGGTTCATATTCAGGAGGATTTATCTTCAGGTTAAAATGTTAAAGTGTCTCATTTATTGATAACAATTAAACCTAATATTAGTTGTAACTCTGGTGGAATCAGTAGAAAATATACTTTTCCAATATCATCTAAAACAGGGGTGTCAAACTCAAGGCCCGGGGGCCAAATCCGGCCCGCGACTACATATTATGTGGCCCCACAAGAGCTTGCAAAGAATATAATATGTTTATTATACGGTTACATGCTACTTTACAGAAGCACGTTGCCCATAAACTACATGTCCCACAATGCATCTCAAATTTGACTTTTTCTCTGAATTTGACTTTTTTTGTCCAAATATGCCTTTTTCCTTAGAATTAGCCTTTTTCTCATAAATAGATTTTTTTTTCAAAATGTCACTTCACTTTTTCAAAATGTCACAATCAATGTTTTTCCAGAATGTGGCTTTTCTTTTAAAATCATATTGTGACATTCTTACTGAAGAGACTTGCAATTATTTGCTCTAGACTTCTGCTTTCAGACGTAGTTAATTATGAAGTTATATTAATTAATGATATAGTCTTAAAGTTACAACCGGCCCTTTGAGTGCAACCATAATGCTGATGTGGCCCGTGATGAAATTGAGTTTGACACCCCTGATCTAAAAGATGGACGTTTTTAGGAAAATGTAAATGTAATTAATATAAATGAAATGAAACTCCATATTTTAAACGTGATGCCGCCCCTTGCTGGCTCTCATAATACTACACTGTATTAATACTCTATTACAGTAAAAGTACTAACACTACACTGTATTAATACTCTATTACAGTAAAAGTACTAACACTACACTGTATTAATACTCTGTTACAGTGAAAGTACTAACACTACACTGTATTAATACTCTGTTACAGTGAAAGTACTAACACTGCACTGTATTAATACTCTGTAACAGTGAAAGTACTAACACTACACTGTATTAATACTCTGTTACAGTGAAAGTACTAACACTACACTGTATTAATACTCTGTAACAGTGAAAGTACTAACACTACACTGTATTAATACTCTGTTACAGTGAAAGTACTAACACTACACTGTATTAATACTCTGTAACAGTGAAAGTACTAACACTACACTGTATTAATACTCTGTTACAGTAAAAGTACTAACACTACACTGTATTAATAGTAGAGGAACAAACCCCCAAAAAAGGCTTTAGTTATCGAGATACCCCTACCCGAGGTAGAACAAAGCACAACCATGTTTTTTCATTACTTTAATATCTGTAATATATTAAACGGATTGTTGTATAAAAATATTTTACTGCAAAATAAAAAATGTTGGTTGATGTATGGAACCTTCCCATAACCGAAAATAGTGAAAATGTAGGCTCCTCTGAAGGGGGCCATGTCAACCTTATCACGTGTATATCTGGAAATAAGGATCAGAATGTCACCAACTTTGGTTTATATGTTCAGGGTGAGGCAAAGCATACACTAAAGCACATTTTGTACCAATACCTTTGTCCATCTTCGTAAAATATACAATCAAACACTGATACAATTTAGGCGGAAATGAAATTTGAAAGGAAAAATCCAAAAGGTATGTTTATACTTTTCTGTCATTATTAAAGTTAGGAGACCAATCCCCAAAAAACCTTATTTATATGTACCAAAGAGTGTTATCTTATGATAAAAGTTGGTTATTTGACTATTAGGGGCTGGTAACCTCTTCTGTCACCAGCCCCTAACAGGTTGCTAGTGCAGCAAGGTCTTCAAACTGACAAATAGAATGGGCCCTATAGGTGTAAATGGATGAACGAAAGGACACAGACCATAGATTAAGGCAAAAAACAAGATTTAATATAATTATTTTTATATAACATATATAATAATAAACCCATCTTTATCATTCTTAATGCATTTATCTTTATATTTAGTTAATCTTTGAATTAACATGGCGATAGGCCTACTGTGAGCCAACAGGCTTGCATTACAGCATTTTCATATGACATAAATGAACATTTTTGACTGAACAAATCAAACATTAGTTAAAATTAAACCATAAATTCAAAATACATACACAGCATTTAGTCAAATTTGCTTTTTAAAGTCTATTATTGTTCTTACATTTAAACCAGGTATATCAGGGACGACATTTAGCCTATAGGATTTAGACAACTTTTTATCATTCCTAAAATTTGCCTTAACATTAACATACATTAATGTTAAATATATACATAAACATATAAATCCTACAGAAAAGGAGAGATATCATAGAATGAGACAGAAATTACATTACACTAATGCAAGCACATTAAACAGCGTTTAACATTTAAAGTAGAGATTTCGGCTCAATGAATGGAAAAATCTAAAATGAACCATACATTCAAACCTTAATGAATCATCAATTATATACAGTTACGATATGACTCAACATTTTTTCTAGCGTGCAACTATGCTGTCATTCACACTTCCGTTAGCGCACTCAAGACAGTCACAGGAACAGAATTCAGTGCATGGCAATCCAGCTGCAAAACAAGGACATTTCTTCTGTTGACTGCATTTTTTGTCCTTGCAGTAGAGATTTGTTAAATCTCGCACTTTTTGCGGTGCTGCCGCTTTTTCATACATCACTGGTTGCATGACTCCCTCCATCAACCTCCAACCTTTCCCCACAGGACTCCAAAGCACTGTTTCTTTTGGTGACTGTGGCACCAAACAGCAGTTTGGTGCATGGCTCTTAGTACGTGTTGCCTAAATGAATCTTCAGTCGGGGGAAGTTGAGAGGCAGGCATGTCTGACAGTGTAGTGTTAGTACTATCACTGTAACAGAGTATTAATACAGCGTAGTGTTAGTACTTTCACTGTTACAGAGTATTAATACAGTGTAGTGTTAGTACTTTCACTGTAACAGAGTATAAATACAGTGTAGTGTTAGTACTTTCACTGTAACAGAGTATTAATACAGTGTAGTGTTAGTACTTTCACTGTAACAGAGTATTAATACAGTGTAGTGTTAGTACTTTCACTGTAACAGAGTATTAATACAGCGTAGTGTTAGTACTTTCACTGTTACAGAGTATTAATACAGTGTAGTGTTAGTACTTTCACTGTAACAGAGTATAAATACAGTGTAGTGTTAGTACTTTCACTGTAACAGAGTATTAATACAGTGTAGTGTTAGTACTTTCACTGTAACAGAGTATTAATACAGTGTAGTGTTAGTACTTTCACTGTAACAGAGTATTAATACAGTGTAGTGTTAGTACTTTCACTGTAACAGAGTATTAATACAGCGTAGTGTTAGTACTTTCACTGTTACAGAGTATTAATACAGTGTAGTGTTAGTACTTTCACTGTAACAGAGTATAAATACAGTGTAGTGTTAGTACTTTCACTGTTACAGAGTATTAATACAGTGTAGTGTTAGTACTTTCACTGTAACAGAGTATAAATACAGTGTAGTGTTAGTACTTTCACTGTAACAGAGTATTAATACAGTGTAGTGTTAGTACTTTCACTGTAACAGAGTATTAATACAGTGTAGTGTTAGTACTTTCACTGTAACAGAGTATTAATACAGCGTAGTGTTAGTACTTTCACTGTTACAGAGTATTAATACAGTGTAGTGTTAGTACTTTCACTGTAACAGAGTATAAATACAGTGTAGTGTTAGTACTTTCACTGTAACAGAGTATTAATACAGTGTAGTGTTAGTACTTTCACTGTAACAGAGTATTAATACAGTGTAGTGTTAGTACTTTCACTGTAACACAGTATTAATACAGTGTAGTGTTAGTACTTTCACTGTAACAGAGTATTAATACAGTGTAGTGTTAGTACTTTCACTGTAACAGAGTATTAAAACCATTCAGCTGTCTTTGTCGTAATTAATTTATTGCAAGAATGTTCAGTGAGTCACACAGAGAGCCTACTGATGCACATCATTTGTATTTCCCAACAGGGCGTGTTGGTAGGTGGGGTTTATCTTCAGTCTCCAGCTGTACTCTGTCTGCTGTAATAGATCCTCCTCAGAGGAGAGCCAGCTGATCATGGAGGCTGAATGGAACAGGAGGGGAAGTTACTTTAACTTTGTAAGGAAGGAGCATCTGAAGCTGGATGATTTGAGAGAGAGAAAGGGCTCAGGAAACAAATACCTCTTTAAAAATGAAATAATCCCAGAATACCCACGACCAGAGATCCATGTGAGCCATCTGAAGCACGACACCAACAGAGGCGGTTTGGAAGGCATCAAGGAGTCCGGAGGCTTCAAGAACCCGTCTGTGGAACAAGAATTTGGAAAAGGCCTGGTGTGGTGGGGTCTGGTTGTGGGGAGGAAGGAACTCAGATCAGCTGAGCAGCGCCTCCTCAAGGAAACATACCCGAACCGAACAGAGCAGCAGGTCCAGGATCAGCAGAGCTTCCTGAGGAAGTTTGCCTCCTCGCCGGCCTTCAAGAAGAGCTCCAGGCTGGGATCGTACCGCTTCACCTTCTCCGTTCAGGAGCTGCTGGAGGCCTACAGTCTGCAGGTACTGAGGTCAGGGTTTAGGACCAGGGTTCGAGTTATAAACTGAGCTCTATGGGGGTCTTTAAAACTAACGCGTGCGCACACACGTACGCACGCACGCACGCACACTCGCACGCACGCTCGCACGCACGCACGCACGCACGCACGCACGCACACACACACACATGTGTAGAGTCTGCAGCGGTACCACCAAACCCCCGACCCGTCTTGTAACACGGAGCCCGTTTCCTACACCATCAGGGTCTAACCAATTTGCTGCCCTAGGCGAGATTTTAGCTGGCGCCCTCACCCCCCCCTGCCAGAAAATCGTTCAAAGGAATACACAATAGAATATATAAAAAATAAATGAAAAATCTTGAAGCACACATTACTAGAGACTAGATCTAGGGGAACTCTAAACACCCATATGAAAAAGATCGGTTTACATTTTAATAACCAAATATGTGAACATAACCAATAACCCATAGCCAATAACAAATACATGTAACTTATTTTATTTTTGTTGTTCATTCATATCTTATTTTACCTAGTTAACATTTATTTATGCATATTTTTGTATCTCTCAAGTTTTAAACGATATTTCTGGTTTACTGTCCTATAGTATACATTGAAATGATTTCAAACCTGTTTGTCCAAATAATGATAAAGGAGTGCCTTGGAAATATGTGTTTACATAAATTGCATTTATCTCTCTCTCTCTCTCCCACGCCCACTTTGGCTGTGAGCTGCGGACGCCTGATAAGCCAACACCCCCCACTTTCATCACTTCCAGCGCCCATCGTACAGGGCAAATGACAAGTGTAACCGGGGTGAAAAGGGTGTTACATTTACTTAATTATGAATGTTGTTACATCAAGGCCAAAAATTAGGATGAGCGCAAACAGTCAAAAATGTTTTTTCCCCTCCCAGAGCTACCAGCGCAGCGCCCCCCAGATCTGGCGCCCTAGGCGACCGTCTATGTCGCCTATACCAAAAACCGGCCCTGTACACCATGCTAAATGTATGTCTGCATAAAGCTGAGTTATGATCGGTCATAATAACACAGCATTTGGTGATGATGAAATAGTTTACAGTGAGATTTACTCCCATACTTTTGGCCATACTCACGCAGCCCTACAAAGGAATTGAGATTTCCACACAAATGTTCTTTAGCAAGTGTGCAGAGCAGTGTTGATTTAAAAAAGCTATTTGAAGGTTGGATATTTGTAAACCTTTTTTTGTGTATATATATTAATAATTTAAGATGTAAATGAATTCCAGTTTATTTGTAGTACTTTCTATTTGTATTGTGACATTTGGTGCCCCCTGCACACACACACACATACACACACACACACACACACACACACACACACACACACACACACACACACACACACACACACACACACACACACACACACACACACACACACACACACACACACACACACACATCATCTCTGCTCGCGCAGCACGCTCACAGGCACAGCTTGTGCAATAATGTATTGTGCACCTTGGAGGTGCAGCGCAGGCATATTGTCATTCAAGAGATGCGTAGTTCTTTTGGAAAACATGTTTTTCTTTTAGCCTATTTACCTCGTTGACGTAAATAATACTCATTACATTGACACATGCATTATTTGTGATTAAAATAATGGTTGTTGGTAATGTATTAGCGACCCCCACAGATGTATGATTTCACTGCGTCCGTGGGAGCTCAGACCCTCCTTATGGGAGCTCTGCTCCCATTGGCTCCCACATAACTCGAACCCTGATTAGGACTCATAATGCTGACTCATGTCAGGGCTCAGGACTCATAATGCTGACTCATGTCAGGGTTCAGGACTCATAATGCTGACTCATGTCAGGGTTTAGACTCATAATGCTGACTCATGTCAGGGTTCAGGACTCATAATGCTGACTCATGTCAGGGTTCAGGACTCATAATGATGACTCATGTCAGGGTTCAGGACTCATAATGCTGACTCATGTCAGGGTTCAGGACTCATAATGCTGACTCATGTCAGGGTTTAGGACTCATAATACTGAGTCATGACAAGGTTTAGGACTCATAATGCTATTCCATTAAATGGGGTGAAGCCTGCGAGCTAGTTCAGGCAGTCAGCTGATACTAGGGAGTCTATTCCCCTCAAAGCCGCGGTGTTTAGGCAGGCCCTCTACTTTTCAGACTAACATCACCAGAGTCAGACGGTCACGCAGTGTTGGGGGATAGGTATCTAATCTCCAGAGTGTTGGGGGATAGGTATCTAATCTCCAGAGTGTTGGGGGATAGGTATCTAATCTCCACAGAGTGTTGGGGGGTAGGTATCTAATCTCCAGAGTGTTGGGGGGTAGGTATCTAATCTCCAGAGTGTTGGGGATAGGTATCTAATCTCCATAGAGTGTTGGGGGATAGGTATCTAATCTCCAGAGTGTTGGGGGATAGGTATCTAATCTCCATAGAGTGTTGGGGGATAGGTATCTAATCTCCAGAGAGTGTTGGGGGATAGGTATCTAATCTCCATAGAGTGTTGGGGGATAGGTATCTAATCTCCATAGAGTGTTGGGGGATAGGTATCTAATCTCCATAGAGTGTTGGGGGATAAGTATCTAATCTCCAGAGAGTGTTGGGGGATAGGTATCTAATCTCCATAGAGTGTTGGGGGATAAGTATCTAATCTCCAGAGAGTGTTGGGGGATAGGTATCTAATCTCCATAGAGTGTTGGGGGATAGGTATCTAATCTCCAGAGTGTTGGGGGATAGGTATCTAATCTCCATAGTGTGTTGGGGGATAAGTATCTAATCTCCATAGAGTGTTGGGGGATAGGTATCTAATCTCCATAGTGTGTTGGGGGATAGGTATCTAATCTCCATAGAGTGTTGGGGGATAGGTATCTAATCTCCATAGAGTGTTGGGGGATAGGTATCTAATCTCCAGAGTGTTGGGGGATAGGTATCTAATCTCCATAGAGTGTTGGGGGATAGGTATCTAATCTCCATAGTGTGTTGGGGGATAGGTATCTAATCTCCATAGAGTGTTGGGGGATAGGTATCTAATCTCCATAGAGTGTTGGGGGATAGGTATCTAATCTCCATAGAGTGTTGGGGGATAGGTATCTAATCTCCAGAGTGTTGGGGGATAGGTATCTAATCTCCAGAGTGTTGGGGGATAGGTATCTAATCTCCAGAGTGTTGGGGGATAGGTATCTAATCTCCATACAGTGTTGGGGATAGGTATCTAATCTCCATAGAGTGTTGGGGGATAGGTATCTAATCTCCAGAGTGTTGGGGGATAGGTATCTAATCTCCAGAGTGTTGGGGGATAGGTATCTAATCTCCATACAGTGTTGGGGAGAGGTATCTAATCTCCAGAGAGTGTTGGGGGATAGATATCTAATCTCCAGAGTGTTGGGGGATAGGTATCTAATCTCCATAGAGTGTTGGGGGATAGGTATCTAATCTCCAGAGTGTTGGGGGATAGGTATCTAATCTCCATAGAGTGTTGGGGGATAGGTATCTAATCTCCAGAGAGTGTTGGGGGATAGGTATCTAATCTCCATAGAGTGTTGGGGGATAGGTATCTAATCTCCATAGAGTGTTGGGGGATAAGTATCTAATCTCCAGAGAGTGTTGGGGGATAGGTATCTAATCTCCATAGAGTGTTGGGGGATAAGTATCTAATCTCCAGAGAGTGTTGGGGATAGGTATCTAATCTCCATAGAGTGTTGGGGGATAGGTATCTAATCTCCAGAGTGTTGGGGGATAGGTATCTAATCTCCATAGAGTGTTGGGGGATAAGTATCTAATCTCCATAGAGTGTTGGGGGATAGGTATCTAATCTCCAGAGTGTTGGGGGATAGGTATCTAATCTCCATAGAGTGTTGGGGGATAGGTATCTAATCTCCATAGTGTGTTGGGGAATAGGTATCTAATCTCCATAGAGTGTTGGGGGATAGGTATCTAATCTCCATAGAGTGTTGGGGGATAGGTATCTAATCTCCAGAGTGTTGGGGGATAGGTATCTAATCTCCATAGAGTGTTGGGGGATAGGTATCTAATCTCCATAGTGTGTTGGGGGATAGGTATCTAATCTCCATAGAGTGTTGGGGGATAGGTATCTAATCTCCATAGAGTGTTGGGGGATAGGTATCTAATCTCCATAGAGTGTTGGGGGATAGGTATCTAATCTCCAGAGTGTTGGGGGATAGGTATCTAATCTCCAGAGTGTTGGGGGATAGGTATCTAATCTCCATACAGTGTTGGGGATAGGTATCTAATCTCCAGAGAGTGTTGGGGGATAGATATCTAATCTCCAGAGTGTTGGGGGAGAGGTATCTAATCTCCATACAGTGTTGGGGGATAGGTATCTAATCTCCAGAGTGTTGGGGGATAGGTATCTAATCTCCATACAGTGTTGGGGATAGGTATCTAATCTCCAGAGAGTGTTGGGGGATAGATATCTAATCTCCAGAGTGTTGTGGGATAGGTATCTAATCTCCAGAGTGTTGGGGGATAGGTATCTAATCTCCAGAGTGTTGGGGGATAGGTATCTAATCACCAGAGTGTTGGGGGATAGGTATCTAATCTCCATACAGTGTTGGGGAGAGGTATCTAATCTCCAGAGAGTGTTGGGGGATAGATATCTAATCTCCAGAGTGTTGGGGGATAGGTATCTAATCTCCAGAGTGTTGGGGGATAGGTATCTAATCTCCATACAGTGTTGGGGATAGGTATCTAATCTCCAGAGAGTGTTGGGGGATAGGTATCTAATCTCCAGAGAGTGTTGGGGGATAGGTATCTAATCTCCAGAGTGTTGGGGGATAGGTATCTAATCTCCAGAGTGTTGGGGGATAGGTATCTAATCTCCAGAGTGTTGGGGATAGGTATCTAATCATCACTCAATGTTCTGTGTAAATCTGTGGAGTGATGAGGCCCGAGCCTAGACTAATTCAAACTATATGCTGCTTCTAATAAACATATCAAGAAACACGAGAGTTGTCTGACTGAATATAAGTTTATAACTTTGTTGACTTTTCCACGTGATTCTGTGTAAAAGCTCTTCTTCTCTCTCCAGTTTTGCGGCGGTGAGCAGCCCGTCATGCGCGTGTATCAGACCCACCTGTACCCACAGGAAGTGATGTATGCGGTGCTGGTCCACGGTCCGGCCAATCAGGAGTTCTCAGACTATCCTCTTCTGACCGACGACCCAAACGCTGTCTGCTGCTACAAAGATGGCCGCTTCATCTGGAGGCCTGAGGCCATGTGTGCAACTCACAGGTGAGAAAACAACAATGACAGGTAACCTGGGAGGTTCAGACAGGAAATGAGTTATGGATTGACTTCCTGTCTCTTTGTCAGCTACGAGTTGGTCCAGAACCCGGAGACTCAGCAGATGGAGGCTCGGACCTACGAGCCCAACTTCTGGCCCCAGTACTACGTCTGGGATAACGTGGGCATCGCTCTGCATGTGGAGAAGGATAAGGTGATCACTTCATCTTTGTTTTCTTGTCTACATCTCAGCGTCAGACCTTTCTCTACATTTCATATCTTTATATGGAGTGGATCTGGTCCGTCTTCTTTAAGGACTCATTTCAGAGTTTGATATCAGCTCCTTTTTTTCCTCAGAAGAAGCACCACGGCCCTTGTTATTAAGGGAATACAAAAATATATTTAAAAAGTCCCAAATGTGAAACATGTCTAGAAGAAAATGTGTAAAAAGAAAGAAGAAATCCCCCAAAATATCTTATATCCAAAGAATACTTGAAAAACTCCTGAAAAACATCTGAAAAACTAATTTGAAAGATAAATAAAAGTTAGAGAAATTTGAAGAACATTTTAATTTGATGAGATTTTGTGATAAATGTGAAGAATTTTTAAACGAAATGGAGAAAATTCCACATAAATATAGAAATAGAAATATAGAAATGTGGAAAAACGATATATATCTTTATGTATATATGTGACAATGTAAAGGGCTGTCAATCGATTAAAATATGTAATTGATATTTATTCATTGGGATTTCCGTTTTTTCTAAATGTTTTTAAAGGGATATCTTTCAGGTTCAGAAAAAGTGCACGCGTTAAAAAAGTGAAAGTTGTGTTTTTAACACATTGACTTTTATCGTCCTAATATTTATTTATTCATAAATAATATGATTTAAATATAGAAATGTGGAAAAACTATATATATATAAAACTATGTAAAGGGCTGTGAATCGATTATAATATGTAATTGCAATTTATTCATTTTAAATTATTTTCACGTGTTAAAAAAGTGAATACCATTAAAAGAAAGTTGTGTTATTAACACATTGACTTTTATCGTCCTAATATTTATTCATAAATAATATGATTTAAAAAGGATTGTTAAGTGACGTGTTCCCAGAGGCTCATGGGAGTTGTAGTTAATGATGGGGTCCATGTTGCTGAATCTGAGCTCTTCCTGTTTCAGCTGCTGGAGTTCGGTCCGGACCGACTGAGAGAGAAACTGAAGTTCTGCGAAGGAGAAAAACTTCCCCACGCTCCGGTCGAGTTTGATGGCTTCCCGTCTGCTGAGGCGACTGTGCAGGACTTATGGCCTGATGACCGCTCCCTGGAGAGAGATGAAGACCCCTCCCCACTGGAGAGAGATGAAGAGCAGGACATTAATAAAGCAGAATAGATCAGAGTTTAGATAAGCACATCCTGCCTTCACTGAACTAACATTACATTCAGAGTTGGAGCTAAATATTGGTTTATGTTATTTTATAAGTAAACATTTATTTTCTGGCCGTTTTAGTTTTAGTGAATGAATCATTAATTATCGTAATAATTGTAGTTGCAGTAGTTCTCTATGCTTTGATTGGAATACTACAATAAACGGATGAAAGGATGTTCTGCCTGGACATTGGACTTTATTCCCTGCGTAACATTTGCTTTCTGGGCCCAGCGGCAGTTTGAGTTTAAGTTAGTTTATTATTGTATTTCTTTAGTTAGCCGTAGCATTCAGGATGATCAGGAAACACCAAACCAAGGGTCCAAATCTGGCCAGGACACTTTGGGGAAATATCTAACAGGAACATTTTGATTTCATTAGATCACATTATTCACACTTATATCAATAATCAGGGTTTTTAAGACTTACATATAAATATTCTAAATAACTAATACAAAAAGTACATATAAATAATGTAAATAAATACCACATATAAATATGTATAAGCAGGCAGTATACTGTAAGTTTAGGAGTATTAAAGGTGTGAAATAACTACAGATATTATGGGATTAAGATGAAACATGGTTCATATTCAGGAGGATTTATTTTCCCGTTGTTAAACCCGAGAGGACCCTAATCCGGGTCTGGCGGGTAGTTTTTTCACAAAACTGTGTCTCAGGGCTTCTTAATATTTAAAAACCTATTAATGTGTCATACTCACTTAACGGTTAGAAACTCAGCTAACTGAAGGTACGAACCATTTTTACCGAAACAAAGCACAAGTCTCACAAGAAGCGTCTAAATTAGCCCTAAGCGAAAAAATGCTAACGCACTTAGCACAGAACTCAAGGTAAAAATACCCTTATTACTTATCGTAACTGCACATAAAATATATCCGATTAAAGCTGAGATTCCACAGATTATATAGGTATTAGTATCATCACTGAGCGATCAGAACTCGCGACAGGGGAAGCAAACACAGACATCACAACACGTAGCATTACGGAGCAAACACGGGACATCGTCTCACCTTAGCTGTTGGTTTCTGATCAAAAGTCGTTAATGGCATTAAAACGATAAAAACGCTGCTGAAGGTTAATCCATAGGTTAATCCAATGTGTCTGTGTGTGATACTCTGTAATAGTAAAAGTACTAACACTACACTGTATTAATACTCTATTACAGTAAAAGTACTAATATTGCACTGTATTAATACTCTGTTACAGTAAAATACTAATATTCAAGGTTCAAGGTTCTTTATTGTCAATCTGACATAGCTACAGAGTAATTATGCAGTTGAAAATCTTATGTCACAGACTTCTCCAACAATGCAACATAATAACATAACATAATAACAATAAGAGCATGAGCAATACAAAAATAATAATAGTTATAAAAATGAAATAAAGTTATGATGTGGAATAGTGCAGTATGAGTCTATATACAAGTTATTGGAATGATATATATATATTAGATATTAGATACATACTACTGAGTAGCAGATGAATGTTTGATGTTGTTTCAACAGTTCAATTGTTTAACAGTCTCACTGCCCGCGGGAAGCAACTGTCTCCGAATCTTCTTGTCCTTGCCAGGATGCTGCGGTAACGTCTGCCAGACGGCAACAGAAAGAACAGTTTGTGGCTGGGGTGATGGGGGTCTTTGATAATCCGTAGTGATTTCTTCCTGACCCGCTGGGAGTAAAGGTCCTCCATGGATAGCAGCTCCGTCCTGGTGATGTGCTGTGCAGTTTTCACCACCCTCTGTAAAGCCTTACGATCGAGGTCGGTGCAGCTGCCGTACCAGGCCGTCATGCTGCCAGTGAGGATACTCTCTATCGTGCACCTGTAGAAGTTGCAGAGTATCCTGGAATCCATTTTGAACCTCCTCAACCTGCGGAGGAAGAAGAGCCGCTGTCGAGCTTTCTTGGTGATGGTGGTGGTGTGAAGAGACCATGTCAGGTCCTCAGTGATGTGGACCCCAAGGAACCTGAAGCTTTTGACTCTCTCCACCGTAGTCCCATTGATGGCGATGGGGGCGTGTCCCTCTCCCTGCTGCTTCCTGTAGTCCACAATCAGCTCCTTTGTTTTACTGATGTTGAGATGGAGGTTGTTCTCCTGGCACCAAGATGTCAGGTTTTCGACCTCCTCTCTGTACGCCGTCTCGTCATCGTCTGTGATCTGGCCGATGACGGTCGTGTCATCAGCAAACTTCACGATGGTGTTGGAGCTGTGTGTGGCCATGCAGTCGTGGGTGAACAGGGAGTAGAGGAGAGGGCTGAGCACGCAGCCTTGAGGGGCACCGGTGTTGAGAATCAGGGTGGAGGATGTGATATTTCCCACCCGCACTGCCTGGGGTCTGCCCGTCAGGAAGTTCAGGATCCAGTCACAGAGGGCGCTGTTGAGCCCGAGGTCTCTGAGCTTGATGGCCAGCTTGGAGGGCACAATGGTGTTGAATGCTGAACTGTAGTCAATGAACAGCATTCTCACATATGTGTTCCTGTTCTTCGGGTCCAGGTGTGAGAGGGCAGTGTGGAGGGTGAGGGCTATGGCGTCGTCTGTAGACCTGTTTGCTCTGTAGGCAAACTGCAGGGGGTCCAGAGATTCAGGGAGGAGGTGATGAATAATTTGACTAACCGCTCAAAGCACTTCATTATGATGTGGTGAGTGCTACTGGGCGGTAGTCGTTGGGGCAGGTGATGATTGTCTTTTTGGGGACAGGAATGATGGTGGAGTGTTTAAAACATGTGGGGACTACAGACTGCAGCAGGGACCTGTTGAAGATGTCTGTGAACACCTCTGCCAGCTGAACTGCACACACCCTGAGAACACGGCCAGGGATGCCATCAGGTCCAGGAGCCTTGTGTGGGTTAACCCTTTTAAAGGATTTACACACATCTGCCCTATTTAAAACAAAAGGGCAGTGTAGCTCCTGGTCCCTCTGTACCTCCACAGCCTGGCTGCTCTCAAAGCGTGCAAAAAAACTGTTTAGCTCATCTGGGAGAGATGCGCACGCAGACACTCCCGCAGCACCCCCCCGCTGCTCCTTTGTAGTCAGTCATTGTCCTTAGTCCCGCCCACATATTCCTAGTGTTACAGCCTTTGAAGTCAGATTCCACCTTGTCTTTGTACTGTCTCTTTGCATTTTTAATTGCTCTCCGGAGATCATACCTAGACTTCCTGTACTCCTCCAAATCTCCCGCTGTGTGCGCGAGAGTGCGCGCTTTCAGTTTGCCGCGCACCTCACCGTTTACCCAGGGCTTTTGATTTGGGAATGTCCGTACAGAAACCTTCGGTACCACGTCATCGATGCATTTCCCAATGTAGCAGATGACAGTGTCCATGTGTGTGTTGATGTTATTGTCCTCAAACACACTCCAATCCGTAGATGCAAAGCAATCCTGCAGTGCCTCATCTGACTCCTCGCTCCATCGTTGTACTGTCCTTGTTATCGGTCTGTCCCTTTTAAGTTTCTGCTTGTACGCAGGCAACAACAGTAGTGAGATATGGTCTGATTTGCCGAAGGGAGGGCGAGGGAGAGCCTTATATCCATTCCGGAAAGGGGAATAAACATGGTCCAGTATGTTTCCCCCGCGCGTCGGGAAGTTGATGTGTTGGTAATATTTTGGCAAAACCTTCTTCATGTTGGCGGTGTTGAAATCTCCGGCCACAACGAACGCCGCATCTGGCCGTGAAGTCTCGGTTTTATCAATAAACCCAAACAGCTGATTGAGTGCCGTGTTGTTGTCGGCGAGTGGCTGCGGCGGGATATACACTGCTGTTATCACAACAGATGTGAATTCCCTCGGCAGATGGAAGGCCCGACATGAGATCATGAGGTGCTCTAGCTGTGCGGAACAGTCCGATGAAATAATCTTCACATCTGAGCACCAGTTGTTGTTAGTCATTACACACACACCGCCTCTCTTACTTTTCCCCGAGTTAGCAGTCCGGTCCTGACGAAAAATAGAGAATCCGTCAGGGACAATAGCGGAGTCCGGGATAGCGGGGTTGAGCCAAGTCTCAGTGAGAATTAACACGTTACAGTTCTTAATGTCCCGTTGAAAAGCAATCCGGCTTCTGAGTTCATCTAGCTTATTTTCAATGGATTGAACATTAGCCAGAAGAATACTCGGAAGAGGGGGCCGATTCTCTCGTTTCCTCAGTCTGACCAGCAACCCGGCCCGGCATCCCCGCTTTGTCTTCTTCTTGCGTCTCTCAGGTAGAACAGCAACAGGTAGCCATGGTGAATCTCCATTGTTTGTCGGAGGGTTATTATTGCACTGTATTAATACTCTGTTACAGCGGCAGTAATCTGTAATTATGAATGGTTAATCCATCATTAAGGTAGTACTCTGATCTCAGCGCTCACTCTGGTGGAACCATCTGCTTTCCCTATTGTTGAGTGTGACCTAGAACATCCGGTTGCTCAGAGGACATCGTGTGACATTTCTAAGTTTGTCATCAGCTGTCATGTGGAAACTGTTTTTGAGGAGTAGCCTCTGTTGGAATTAATCAAAACCTGCTGACAGTTTCGACAAAGGCCACGCCCGTTGGCAGCTTCTCTTGATAGCCGTCTGCGATGTGTTGGGAGAGGCAGTGGATTCATCTGCAAGCAGCTTGGTCTTTGATCAGCTTCTATCTGAGGGGAGAGTCGGCTAAAAAGTGGTCTCTCAAGCAGCTTGTAGGTGGTCCATAGTAGAGAGATGGGCCGGTAGTTCTTGGAAGGTGGGGATCTGTCCCAGGTTCCCCCCCACACACACACACAGACACAAAACATCCAGCACCAGTCACTTTCACGCTGCTGTGGAAAATATGTTGCACTCTCATTTGCACTATGTACATCATCTCATCTTTTTGTATATATCCTGCTTACTTTGGAAGGAATCGGTTATTTTGTGTTTTTTTTGTAATTATTGATTGTTCTTGTATTTTAATGTGTATGTATATATATAGTTATATAAATAAGTTGGGGTATAGGTATGTATATACATATTTTATATATATTGTATATCCTTTATTTTATTGTATACCTCTGGACTGTGGGGAACAGTATTTCGATCTTTCTGTGTGTAAAAACATATTTTGAGATTGACAATAAAGTTGACTTTGACTTTGACTTGCTATGGCTGGAATAGGAGATTATCCTCTTCAACATCTACACCAATGACCAGCCCCT